TCTCGTGCACTGTGTGCTGACATGTTTCCCTCTAAGTGAAATTATTAAAGATTATTCCCTAAGATGGTTATTTATTATATATCAGAATTTTTTGATTTCAGGTTAATGTGAGGGTACAAACAACCATATCACAATATTTGAATTTGTTAGGTAGAGTCCCTCTTGTTGCTATGTCCTGTACCCAAAAGGTATGCACGCCTACATTGTGTATTATAGATCGGGATTTTCAAAAAATTCTCAAAATGTATCACTTTTGTAATTAGGAAATGTTTGGAACTTTGGTTTCAAAAGTGAATGTATCACATTTGTAACTAGGAAAAGGGTTTTTGTTTTGTTTTGTTTCCTTTGGAAGTATACACTCTTTTAACTTGTTATAATTGGGCCAGCATGAGCTCCCTCTGTCCCTTTTGTCCCCTTTGGGTTGAGGCAGATGGGTGGAGTGATGGAGGGCTAGGGGCGCACATTCTAAGCATGGACCCCTCGTTTTCGCCCCAGGCTCTAGCACCATATGTCCTCTCCATCCCTGGTATCCTTGCATGGAGTGTCTTCCTGGTTTGGACTCGGCTTTTTTAGCGAGCTGTGTGAAAGACAGAGACAGTTTTACAGCGGCAGATGCTTCTCTGAGATTTGGGATATCGTTCCGGAGGTCATCCACTCTGGCACCTGAAGCCCCCTTCACAAACATCTGCACAAGTTGCTCTCTGACCATAGACTTAGGGAAAGCAGAGCCTATGCTGCCTATGTAGAGCAGATGGATTTTGTCTAACAAACCTCATGCACCGTTGCTTAGACTGCTGGGAGGCACAGAGCTAGAGGCTCCACTCAGCTTTAGCCTGAGCCGGTGCCTCTCATGTGTCCTTGTGTAGTAACCTGACACCTCGTGTCTTTGCTACTCCTTACCCTTGTGTTCCTCTGCCCTGATCTCTGCTTCCTCTCTCACCACCTGCCTCTGTTTCTGTTTCTCCCTCTGGCTCCCTCCCACACATGCCTCTTTCTCATTTGCATCCCCTTCTTGCTGCACCTCCAGGTTCACATTCACTAGAAGAGAGGCAAAGTGTCTGTCAATAGAGGCTAAGTGACTATAGCATTGCGTCCACTCTTCACCAGTCAGTTTTGGAGAGAAGTGTTCCCAAAAGACAGGTACAGGATTTTCTTTTTTGTTTAGTGTATTTATCTGGATACTCCACCACGGAGAATCTCAGCAGATTCACAGCTTTAGAATCACACGGTGGCTCGGCACCTATAGCTCAGCGGCTAGGGCGCCAGCCACATACACCAGAG